CTTCATGTGTTTGACCCTGTTGTAGTACATTATAGTAATATTACACACTAAACCCATATAAGTATACAAAAATATAAGTATCCGTAAAGTATTATCAGGTTATGTTAAAGCCTAAAAAAATCATTTTCCCACAACAAGTCAACTCACAGAAGAAGCACATTGTAGCAACGACACAATAACTTTTGTTGATATTAGGCTACAACTCAACATCAATACAAACGTACATCAGAAACTTTAGAGAAACTAAATATTTGATAAGAGACAGAGAGAAGAAATATTCTTACCAGGATCAGTGGAGTGAAGGAGGTGAAGAAGAGACAGAAAGGAGGAGGAGGAGTTCCTGCTGACGGCACAACGACAGCTGACCCCCAAAATAACCTGAGAGGCTCACACTCTGAGGTCTGTGTGTGTGTGTGTGTGTGTGTGTGTGTGTGTGTGTATGTGTGTGTGTGTGTGTGGGGGGGCTGTGTGTGCCTGTTGGTTGCACATACTAAAGAATGTGTGTGTGTTACTTTGTTCTGGCTGTGTGTTGTTCCACGTATATCTCTTTTTAAGGCCAATTCAGAAATACATGGGATTGTAATCTGTGTAGGATAATAGTATAGTGTGAATGCAAGACTCTGTATCTATGTACAGAATACAATGGGGAAGCAAATTAATGGAAAAAAAAGAGGCAAAACCAACACAACAACACAAGTAAAGCAGCCCTGTAGCAGCTGTGTACGGTGACACTATGATCATGTCCATGAGGAGAGGGACAGAGTCAATGTTTAGGCAAGGCAAGGCAAGTTTATTTATACAGCACCTTTCAACACAACGCAATTCAAAGTGCTTTACAAAAATGAAAGACATTAAAGGTGGGGTAGGTCATTTTGGAGAAACCAGCTCGAGTGCGCTAAAATTTGAAAATACACAGCCGGGAAAAATATATCTCGAGCCGGTTTCTCAAACTTACCTACCCCACCTTTAAAAGGTAGGGTAGGTAAGTTTGAGAAACCGGCTCGAGATACACTTGTTGTTATATTCCATGGAATGCTCTTAACATCCCGATAGCAATGAATATCTGAAGTGCTTTGACAAAAAATCCATAAATAAATATCACCTGTGGAAGCTGTAGTACTGTAAAAAGCACGACCAATCATCTGAGCCGGCCCGGCTAAAGTAACTGGATGGCCTACCTGCCTGTCAGCCTTCCATCTGTGCACAAACTTATCTCGTGCCCTCATTGGTCATGTGCGCGTTCGTGTGTGTTGGAGGAGGGGCTCTGGAAGGAAGTGGCAGATTTTCTCCAGTTGTGTATTTTCAAATTCTAGCGATCTCGAACCGGTTTCTCAAACTTACCTACCCCACCTTTAAGAGAATGGCATTTAAAAACAGTCATTAAAAAGCAAAGATAATAAAATATACATTAAAAGAAAAAATACATGAATAAAAGTTACAGTGCAGTTTAAGATGTGAATAGTTCAATGAAAAGCAGCGGCAAAAAGAAAAGTCTTCAGCCTGGAAACCAACACAACAACACAAGTAAAGCAGCCCTGTAGCAGCTGTGTACGGTGACACTATGATCATGTCCATGAGGAGAGGGAGCACACTGATCTTTATGTCATTAGACGGTGAGTTACCACCATCTAGTGGACAGTTAGTAGAACTACATCACCTCTCACAATGTTTCTGACACTTGTAACACCGGTTTTCACGTGACTCTGAAGTGTTTTTAATCTCTGGAGTTATGAGGGTGTGACAGCGTCCTCGGATCAGATGCAGGCAGACACAGGACTGCAGAGGAACACATGAGCAGAGTTTCCTCCACACAGGAAGCTGCAGAGTGTCTGAAAGTGGACCTGAAGTGAGTTCAGCAGGTGAGAATCCTACCAGACGAATCTGTTCCATCATCAGGATCACTCTGATCACATTGTGCTGTGTCACTGTTTACCTGGACAGGTCACATGACTCTTGATGCTGATTCTTAATATCTGTTTGAAGTAGTGTGTAGAATTTCTCTCTTAAAGTCAAAGAGTTAAAGAGGAGTGATTTTAGAAAGATTCAGTCAGTGTTTCTTGAGTAGAAAGAGCAGCAGTTTGATTGTTTTCTTAGATCACATCATCAGTAAAGAATGCAGGGCGTGTCTAATCCGGTCCGACAACTCGGTTCACGTCACTGAGGTGTTTTTATTGTTGAACTCTTAACACTCTGAAGTTAAGTGCATGGATGAAGTGTGAAAGGCTAAGATACAGCCACCTTCCAACACTGACACTGACCTGGTTTCACTGGAGAGCTTTTATCACAGGTCAGCTCTCAATAGGTTTACATTCAGGTCTGTTGTTATCAGTATTTAAACATTCTGACATCTACATCATTACCAGCAGCATTTAAGTGTACAGTATTCAGTAATCAGTGTTTGTATTTCTATCAGGATCAAACATTGGAAACCTAGACCTGGACCCAGCTGTGTGTCTAAGAGTGACTCCTCTATGGATCCACCCATTGAGTTGAAAGATGGACAACACTCTGATCCAGAGTAACACATTATCTAAATTGTTGTTATAAGTATTAAAATAATTAGACATCAGAATTCTAACCGAATTTCAGTGTACCTTAATCAGTGCTTGTGATTCTATCAGGATCCAACATGAGGAAACTGGACCTGAAACTGGATCTGGGCCTGGAGCTGATTCTGGATCTGGATCCGGACCCAGCTGTGTGTCCATGAAGAGTGACCGGTCTATGGACAAACCTATTGGGTTCAGAGATGGAAAGCACTCTGATGGTCCAAGGTAAGAATTTAAACTCCACGTACTCCCTTGTTGTGATCAGTATCAAAACGTTAAAAAGGCAATATTATATCCTGCAGAATGTTAGTGTACATTTGCATTGATCAGTGTCTGTGTTTCTATTAGGATACAACATGAGGAAACTGGACCTGATTCTGGACCTGGACCCAGCTGTGTGTCCATGAAGAGGGTCCGGTCTATGGGCAAACCTATTGGGTTTACATACAGAATGCACTCTGATAGTCCAAGGTAAGAATTCAACTGTAGGTTATTTTTGTTGTTTGCGATTCAAATCAACAGTTTTCTCAGCAGCGTTTTATCTCCATCACATTCATCAGTGTTTGTGGTTCTATCAGGATCAAAGAACAGAGGCCAGTCCACCGTACATCCAGCTGTGTATCCATGAAGAGTGACCACTTCAGAGAGTTTTATAGCAAGATTCAACGAAAGCACTTTAACAAGTAAATGTAATTTTGTATAAATCGCTAAATGTTATATCACATTTTTACCCAGAAAGATTTGTAATAAGCATATTTGTCTTTTTTAACCATGTGTCCTGTTTGAAGAAGGATCCACTAACAGCACATATAACTCTGTATATGTTCAAAATCATCCTCTCCACAGAGCTTATCGACAGAATTCAGAGGTTCCCATTAATCAGTCTGTCCAGCTGGACTCCGTATTCATGGTGCGTAAATGCAAAAACACGCTATTTTTCCTATCTACAAACTAAATTCATTAACTAATCATGTAGAAAACATCAACTGGCTGCCTTTTTGTTTACTTCAAAACATATTCCCTGATGCTCAAAATGTTCAACAATTTCCAAAAGAAGAATCACACTCAGTAGTGAAGCAGCATTATGATCCAGAGTCCATGCTGCAGTCTGCAGATAGTCAGGCTTTCTGTCTCACACATGATCTGATGTTAACTTCTACCAGTTAAACTCTACAACTTATTCTGTTCCAGCTGCTCCAGGAAAACATCGTCAGATTTGTGGAGGACGAGCTGAAGAAGATCCAGAGAGTCCTGAGTTTAGATTACCCAGAAGGCTTAGAGAGTCAGAGGGAGGATGAGGAGGTGTTGGACGGTGAGGATGAAGAACAGAGGAGGAGCAGCAGAGAGGCATTTCTGAACATCACACTGCACTTCCTGAGGAGCATGAAGCAGGAGGAGCTGGCTGACCGTCTGCAGAGCAGTAAGAGGATTAGACAGATTGGAAATATGATGATGATAATAATGATGGAGAGGGTTTTACATTCCAAAACTTTGCTGTTAATATAATGCACAAATATATGTCAGATCTTGGCCACATTATTGGAAACGACATGCAAATGTTTCTCAAGAAATATGATCCTATTTGGTTGAATGGTGGCGCAGTAATTACCTTACGAAAATGCATATTAAGAAAAGCCACACCCCTAAAATCCTCAGTCTGAAATTCGACCCACATTTCAATCTCAATGTGCTCTACAACAAAGCCTCTTGGACAATAGCATCGATGTATATACACACAACACGTTAACGACTTGTCCAATCTTAAATAATGTTTGTGGGTGTCTCCTCAGGATGTGTTTGGAAATAGTCTGAGCCGTGTATTTTAAGCCCAACCCATAGGGTAACTGCTTTTGCTACACTTGCTGTCAGCTGGAAAATCCCTAGGGGACATTAAACTTGGAACCATAACCCGAAATGATGTGGAAATGCTTCATATTAAATATGACCCCAATTGAACATTTGGTGGTGCTATAACAAAGAGGCTTCCCCTCCCCAAATTTACTTCGAATTTGTCACACATCTTTAAATTATTGTTCTCACTCCTTTACAGAGAATTAATCCAAAATAAGTTACTTATAACTCACTCATCTATGTGTAGCCACACTGATGATTGCAGCTTCCGATATTGCAGTTGCGCTCTTTCCTTTAGTTGGTTGAAAAAGGGTTTATTTGTCTTTTCAGAAACTAATGCTCGAGTGTGCAAACGTAAACTTAAGTCCACCCTGAAGGAGAGGTTCCAGTGTGTGTTTGAGGGCATTGCTAAAGCAGGAAACCCAACCCTTCTGAACCAGATCTGCACAGAGCTCTACATCACAGAGGGGGGGGGGGTCTGCAGGGGTCAATGATGAACATGAGGTCAGACAGATTGAAACAGCATCCAGGAAACCAGACAGACCAGAAACAACCATCACACAAGAAGACCTCTTTAAAGCCTCACCTGGAAGAGATGCACCAATCAGAGCAGTGATGACAAAGGGCGTGGCTGGCATTGGGAAAACAGTCTTAACACAGAAGTTCACTCTGGACTGGGCTGAAGGCAAAGCCAACCAGGACATCCAGTTCATATTTCCATTCACCTTCAGAGAGCTGAATGTGGTGAGAGAGAACAAGTACAGCTTGGTGGAACTTGTTCATCACTTCTTCACTGAAACCAGAGACGCAGGAATCTGCAGGTTTGATCAGTTCCCGGTCGTGTTCATCTTTGACGGTCTGGATGAGTGTCGACTTCCTCTGGACTTCCACAACAATGACATCCTGACTGATGTCTCAGAGTCCACCTCAGTGGATGTGCTGCTGACAAACCTCATCAGGGGGAAGCTGCTTCCCTCTGCTCGCCTCTGGATAACCACACGACCTGCAGCAGCCAATCAGATCCCTCCTGAGTGTGTGGACATGGTGACAGAGGTCCGAGGGTTCACTGACCCACAGAAGGAGGAGTACTTCAGGAAGAGATTCAGAGATCAGGAGCAGGCCGGCACCATCATCTCCCACATCAAGACCTCCCGAAGCCTCCACATCATGTGCCACATCCCAGTCTTCTGCTGGATCTCTGCTTCAGTTCTGGAGGAGGTGTTGAAAACCAGAGAGGGGGGAGAGTTGCCCAAGACCCTGACTGAGATGTACATCCACTTCTTGGTGGTTCAGTCCAAAGTGAAGAACATCAAGTATGATGGAGGAGCTGAGACAGATCCACACTGGAGTCCAGAGAGCAGGAAGATGATGGAGTCTCTGGGGAAACTGGCTTTTGAGCAGCTGCAGAAAGGCAACCTGATCTTCTATGAGTCCGACCTGACAGAGTGTGGCATCGATATCAGAGCAGCCTCAGTGTATTCAGGAGTGTTCACACAGGTCTTTAGAGAGGAGAGAGGACTGTACCAGAAGGACCAGGTGTTCTGCTTCGTCCATCTGAGCGTTCAGGAGTTTCTGGCTGCTCTTCATGTCCATCTGACCATCATCAACTCTGGAGTCAACATGCTGTCAGAAGAACCAACAACCTCCCAGAAGTCTAAAGTCTTCAGACCCAAACCTGAACTGACACATCTCTACCGGAGTGCTGTGGACAAGGCCTTACAGAGTGCAAACGGACACCTGGACTTATTCCTCCGCTTCTTCCTGGGTCTTTCACTGCAGACCAATCAGATTCTCCTACGAGGTTTGCTGACACCACAGACAGGAAGTGGTTCAGAGACCAATCAGGAAACTGTCCAGTACATTAAGAGGAAGATCGAAGAGATGCCCTCTGCAGAGAGAAGCATCAACCTGTTCCACTGTCTGAATGAACTGAATGATCATTCTCTAGTGGAGGAGATCCAACAGTCCCTGAGATCAGGCAGTCTCTCCACAGAGGAACTGTCTGCTGCTCAGTGGTCAGCTCTGGTCTTCATCTTACTGTCATCAGAAGAAGATCTGGATGTGTTTGACCTGCAGAAATACTCTGCTTCAGAGGAGGCTCTTCTGAGGCTGCTGCCAGTGGTCAAAGCCTCCAACAAAGCGTTGTACGTGCAGATTTAAACAACATTAACTATGCTCAGTTTTAGACAAGAGAATAACATATTTTGCTGTGTTAATTGTTAATCCTTCCCCAGGCTGAGTAGCTGTAAGCTGTCAGAGAGAAGCTGTGCAGCTCTGTCCTCAGTCCTCAGCTCCCAGTCCTCTAGTCTGAGAGAGCTGGACCTGAGTACCAACGAACTGGAGGATTCAGGAGTGAAGCTGCTGTCTGCTGGACTGGGGAGTCCACACTGTGAACTGGAGACTCTCAGGTAACTATTCTGCCTTTTATTTTAAAAACAGTTTAACTAATACATCCTGTTCATATAGCTTCACGTTCATGTTGTTAATATCTGCATGGTGTTGTTTGCTGACATAACTTCATGAGTTTTCAACATTTTCCTGCTTCCAGTCTGTCAGGCTGTCTGGTCACAGAGGAAGGCTGTGTTTCTCTGGCTTCAGCTCTGAGCTCGAACCCCTCCCATCTGAGAGCGCTGGACCTGAGCTACAATCATCCAGGAGACTCAGGAGAGAAGCTGCTGTCTGCAGGACTGGAGGATCCACTCTGGAGACTGGAGACACTCAGGTATGGACAGCGCACATGACCAAACAGTTAGCAGGTGCCCCTAATCTTTCAATGTTTGATTTGTCCTCTCTGTTCTGTCACCATGAACACATTTCTGTCAAAGTATGTCTTCTTTTCCTTCTTCTTCTTCCTCTTAAATTTGTCTGCAACATTGCTTCATGTTAGGACTCATGTTGGATAACAATCAAAAAATAAAATCATTCTGACTGTTTCTTCCTCCAGGCTGGACCATGGTGGAGAGCAGTGGCTTACACCAGGTCTGAGGAAGTGTAAGTTTGGACTCAATCCTTTACTTTTCTCATTAAATACAAAGATTATAATTGTGGTATTTACATATTTAAACATAACTGACTGCAAATCTCATCTTTAAAATGTAGAGAATTGAACATCAGGAGATGAACAGAAAAAAAAGCCTTCAAGATGTGTCTGATTATAAACTGCCCTTTTTGTTTCCATCAGATTCCTGTGAACTCACACTCGACACAAACACAGCTCACAGAAAACTAAAACTGTCTGACAAAAAATGGAAAGTGACACGTGTGTTGGAGAAGAAGCCATATCCTGATCATCCAGCGAGGTTTGACTGCTGGGAACAGCTGATGTGCAGAGAAGCTCTGACTGGTCGCTGTTACTGGGAGGTCGAGTGGAGAGGACAGGTTTATATATCAGTGACTTACAGAGGAATCAGGAGGAGAGGAGTCAGTGAGGACTGTGTGTTTGGATATAATGATCGGTCCTGGAGTCTGATCTGTTCTGCTGGTCGTTACTCTGTCTGTCACAATAACAGTAAAACTGTTCTCCCTCTCTCCTCCTACTCCTCCTCTTCCTCCTCCTGCCTCTTCCTCTCCTCCTCTGATAGAGTAGCAGTGTATGTGGATCATCCTGCTGGTTCTCTCTCCTTCTACAGAGTCTCCTCGGACACACTGAGCCACCTCCACACCTTCAGAACCACATTCACTGAACCTCTCTACGTTGGGTTCATGTTCTGCTCAGAAGGTTCCTCAGTGTCTCTGTGTTCTCTGTAGGAGGAGACTTCCTGTCCTGTGGTTTAAATGTTTGTGGCGGACGAGGCTTCACCTTGGGCAACATTTGACTCACTGATTGTGTTTTTATTGTCAGAAATATGAATCCCAGAGGAGGAAGGCCATGAGATGAGGCTGAAAGCTCCAGAAACAAGTTTTCTGTATGTTTAAATATAAAAATGAGTTACGATCAAATAAAACATGTGCTGATTTCCTAATAAAATGAAATGTTATAAAAGTTCCATTGCCAGTCTTTTATTCCCCTGTTATAAAATAACTGTATCTTCAGACCTTTATGATCCAGATGATAAAGTTTGATGCTGTCTGTTAATGTTTGACTTGAGTTGCTCCATGCTATTGGTTCCAGAGGTCAGAGGAGCTCTCTGATCATATTTCAGCTGAAGGTGAACACAGAGAGTTAGACTGTATGTAAATCAATAGAGCTGTGGAAACCTCCTGCTGGGAGTTACATGTTAGTTCTGTCTCTGCTTGGAGCTACTGATTCATTTCCCCTTCACTCATCAGCAGATTATATTCAGCTTCAGAAGGTAAGAACAGATTTCATCATGTGTGTGTCAGCGGCAGTTAAACTGAGAACAGTAAAGGTGCTGCTGTACTAATGTGTTGTGTTCACTGCATTGGTGGAATCAACACAACTCCAGAGGAATCAAGAACAGTTTAGTTTGGATGAAGCTGAATTTGAGCCTGTTGGTACGTCACAATGATGGAGCAGGAAATATAAACAGCATGATGAGATTGATAAAACAGAGCAGTAGGAAATGTTGACTTTAGATCAGAGGACTTTAGGGTTAGACTAGTTCAGATGCATTAAGGGTTAGGGTTAGTCTAGTTCAGTGACTTTAGGGTTGGGGTTAAGCAAGTTCTGATGACTTTAGTGTTAGGCTAGTTCAGATTACTTTAGGGTTAAGGTTAGTCTAGTTCAGCTGACTTTAGGGTTAGGCTAGTTCAGATGACTTTAGGGATCAGGTTAGTCTAGTTCAGCTGACTTTAGGGTTAGGCTGGTTCAGATGCCTTTAGGGTTAAGGTTAGTCTAGTTCATTGACTTTATGGTTGGGGTTAGGCTAGTTGAAAATACTTTAGTTATTTTCACCTGTCTCTGTGGTTTATTTGTAGCCTTTATGCTGCTGTTGTAGTTAGTTGTATAGTAGTCCTACTAACAAATACATTGTTCACATAGGGTTGGATTCTCTTACAGGACTGTTGGATTTTTCTGTCTCTCTGCATGTTGTCAGTCACAGCTAAATATATTTGAGTTTGTCTCTGTTAAACTTTACTCTGTTGCCAGGAATTGTGTCATTTTATTGTCCGAAGTTTTAGTACAGTACCAAGGGTCAGCCCATTCAGTCTCTTTGAGATGAACAAACATTTTACAGCCAGTTTCCATCAGTAAGTGAGGTATGAAGGTAGATATGGTGCAAAATGCGAGAGTGTGTAAAATCTGATGTGAGCACTTGCAGAAAAAATATCTGAGCTTGTGTGCATACATTTACACTTGTATAAAATATCCACGTATCTGTGAACCACATTTGAAGTCACAGAAGAAAAAAAAAAGTTTTGTAGTGTAAGCATTGGGTTGAGAGGTCATGTGTTGTGAGCATGCGCAGTCTGTCCTGGAGTGGTGAGAGGGAGAGTGTGGTGTGACTCGACGATAAATAAACGGAGGCATCTGTGACGCTCCAAAAAGTTCTAAGTTCCTGAGTTTTTGTTACACAGAAGTATTCTTGAAGCCTTAACACCTCGGACGTTACAGTAGCTTGTAGAAAAAAAATGAACTTAGTGATGAAATGTTCACTTGCAGAAAAATATATATTTTTTAAATACATTTTCCATTACAACTGCAACTTGGTTATTACAACCTCTCAAATCAGTCATTACAACTCCACGAATCTGCTCTGTGACAGTATAAATCGACGAATCTGCGGCCTTGACTTTTGCTACACTTCTTGCGATGAATGTGTCGCAAAAGTAATTTTCACCTGTAGATGTGGGGGGAGGGAGGGGGGTTGGAGCGAAGGGGTGGAGCTATCAGAACGACGAGGCTCGGGTCACTCACACAGTCACAGCCATAGTCAGGTCGAACCGGATGACTGCGGGGCTAACGGTCCGTGTCGCTACCAGTCCGCTGACATGGCGCGTCAATCAACGGTAAGTTTTGCCCATTACTTCCCCAGTATTACTTTGAATATTATTATTGTGATTGAGGATTAAATCCGCTATGAAGACCACCGTTTTATATCGTGCAGTTTAGAGGCAAAATAACGTCAGTTAGCCAGCTAACGCTAGCTTTGTTGAATTTATGCTAGCTAAACAAGTAGTGGTTGTAGTCTATACAGCAGTAATTCATATATTATAGCCTACTGCTTTGGCACTAACGGTTGATAACCGTTTATGAAAATAAAACCAATTGAACTGTACTGAAATAATGACAAGTTTTATAATTGTCTTGGGCTCCTGCTGTGATTTTAAAGCCTTTGTAAATTATCCATGCTATTTTCTATTTAGAACGAAGACTTCAGAATCTTAAAATCCCTTGACGTTTGGCGGGCCGCCATTTGCCCATCCCTGGTATAAAGCATTTATTATTTTCATTTTTCCCCTCTCATATTCTGTGTGGACGGATTGAGACAGCGTGGTGTCCAGAGAGCTGCAGAGACTTCAGGGAGAAACCTCCGTGTGATGGTCCTGTCTGTTGGTTTGGCTGGAGAGTTAAAACCATAGACTATAAAGGTTAAAACGAAATAGACAAGTGTTAAGCGTTAAGTGGGATAATACTGTAGAACAAACAGCTTCTGTTTGAGGTTGATAAAATAAGGTCATCCTTGTAACTTAGCGAGATATTTTATTATGTAGGTAGGAACTGTATGCATCGCTAAGGTTAATTTAAATCCGCTATGCTCGAGTATGTAGACAAGCTAACGTCGAAGTAGTGTATGTGAAATCAACCTCACAATAAGATGTGTGTATATTACAATTATTAATGTCATATTTCAAGATGATTACTTGGATATTACAATATGGTTGGTTGAGCTGGAGTTCATTATTGAGCTTACACATTAACATCACAGTCATCTGAAGAACGAACCCAAACCTTGTTGTTTTTATTAATTGCGTTACCAAATTGGTATCAAATAAACAGTAAGCATTGGTAACACAACTTCCAAAGTTACAGTAAAATAAAAAGGACCCTGACTCGGACAATACACAATCCAACATGTTCAACAGAAGAGAATCAGTTATATTGTTTGTACACATGGTTCTTTACATATATATCTGTTTGTTTAAAGTGTCCAGGTGATGCAGACAGGCTGGACCAGAGAGTGAGAGACAGAACTGGACTCCTCACAGCAGTGAACTTCAGCACAGGTACAAAGACTATTTTTTTCATACTGTACAAAGAATCAAGAAAGATATTGGTTTAAATAAATGAAGTATTTGTGGAGGAAACTTCTGTGTAGCAATGCATGGAGTCACCGACTCAGGAAGGAGACACGGTGAGAGTTGGAGCTTTGATGTCAAACACTGATGGGTTTATTCAGAGTATTCGGCCGGAGGATTCACATCACAAATCAAAGAGTCAGAGGTTCTGACTACACGGTAGAGTTGCCACGTCAATTCTGAAGAGCTTCTCTCTATGCTAGACCTTTTAACTGCTTCACAGAGAGAAATCAACATCTCTGAAGGAGTAGACTAAATAGCTGGGAACACTGCGTCCGACACTCATGGCCTCAAGGATTTCACATCCTAGAGCCCACAAACACCGATAAAGAAGTGCCTCAGTGTTCCCACAACAATTACCCCTCGTGCCAGTCAAGTTGACCGGTCACAGAGCAAAAGGTTAGATATCTAGAAGAATTATTCCTTAACAGTTCCTCTCTTTTTATCATTTTTGATAACCTTAAAACATTAGTCTAATAATAATTCTGGTCAATACTTAAATCAATAGGCGTCTTCAGATTCGAGTGTGGTCTCACCTTACATTCAATTACATCACAAAGTAGAATAAGATTGAAACATTCAATCACAATGATTGATACAGGCAATCATAATAGGAACAATTATCTCTCATCAGTGTTTGGAGCATCTTTTGTCAATAAGTACAATAATGAACACACATAAAACACAGATACATAATAGCAAAAATATTTGTTTTAAACTAATATCTTTTATCATTTAAACCATTAGTTAATGTCATTTATCAAACTATAAAATCAAAACCAGCTTGCAGCTTAAAGATTTGCTTTAAGGCAATCACTAGTCAAAAGCATTTACAACTTAGGATCATAAGAGATCCAGCTAAGGCATAAATTCACAGCTGGTGATTTGATCAATCTGTAATCCACAAAGTTGCAGTGTCCTCAATTTTAGGATTACTTTACGTTTACTTCATTACGCTTTAGCCAAGAGTAAGGCACTTAGTCTTAGAAAAATCAATACATTCATTTTAGTCAAGTACATTGTTCAAAATCTGAAAAGGAAAAGTTAGGCAAATATTCAAAGACTTTTGTAAAAACCTGGAAAGGAAAGATTAAACATTCTTAAAACTTTAATTCATACATTTGTAAATGCTACAACTGATCTGTACCAAATTAAGTCTATCAATTATTCTTATTAGCCATACTTACCTGAACATCTACTTATGGTACTTGGAAAGGGTTCTTCTGTGTTTATCTAATGTTGAATATAGAATATCAATTTCTTTAAATTATACTTCTCTAATTTGAGGATCAAATATGCTACATAATTGTTATATGAATTATTATAAATATTTGTTTTGGGCATTGAAATTAATCCAGTACTTGAAACATCATTGTAGGTCTGTCTGTTCATGGACAATACATTAAAGAGTTGTGTTGTTAAGCCTGAGTGCTGGACGATTAAGGATATTAACATTATCTGTTATAATATTAGAAATATCTTATTATTCAATACCTTATAATCTGAGAATATTTATTTATTAATTTTGTTTAGTGTGAAAATGTAATCTGATCTGACTAAATATATTTATCACCACTACTTAACACATGTCTGGTCATTGGAAATATAAAAAACAATCATTAATTGTAAATCTTTAAACATCTGGTCATTCAATTCAAAGTTTATCTTTGTACGAGAGCTGGGAGAACATGTCCGTCAGTCTTCCTGACTCGTTCTCCTCCTCCCTTTATGACACCGAGTGTCTGCTGTGT